TAAACTCGACCCTTGACAGAGAAGCTGATGTCACGCCTACACCACAGGTGACGTAGGTTCGCAAAAGCTGCTCTGGCCTTCCCAATCCGGATGGAAATATCATCTTTCGCCAGACCACCGGGACTGATACAGCTGCCCAGGTAAACAAATTTGTCTACTACCTCAATCGGTTCGTCCGCAAGCATGAGGTTAGGGTTCGAACCCACCCAATCTTGCAGTAGCACTTTACGCTTTGTAGGTGTGAAGCGCACACCAAACCGCGAGGCAGAATTATTTAGATAATTTAGTATTGTTTGCATTGCCACGGGATCAGATCCAAGAAGGGTTATGTCGTCTGCGTACTCGATGTCTGTGAGCGAAGGCCCAGGGAGCACTTCGACCTCACAGGCATTAGAGGCTGGTAGTTAGTCTTCCATGATCGTATCAATGACGAAGTTGAAGAGGAAAGGTGAAAGAGGATAACCCTGTTGGACACCACTTGATGTGGTGAACTCAGGAGAAAGCTTCCCGTAGACCTTTACACGGCCGCGGGAGTTGGCGTACAGCGCCTTAATGAGGTTCAAGAATTTATGAAGGACACCTTTGCTCCACAGACACTGCCATAGTGCTTGGCGGTCCACAGAGTCAAAGGCAGCTTTCAGATCAAGAAAAACAGTTCAGCGTAGTCACTGATGATGTTAAAGGGAATCCTGACTGAAGAATAAGATTCATGGAATTATAATAAGTTTCGCTTCGCGCAAGAGAAAGTAGATTCGGACGAGAAGGGCCGCTTAGTGGTATCTACTCAGCCCGTGGAATGGAAACAGAAAATGAGTGGAATACGTTAGTAGAACAAAGCAGCGGTTCACTGCTTAACGTCTTAAAGACCTGACTTTTGGTTCCTTACTCGGAGTTTTGAAACAAACGACCTTGCATTCGTTGTCTTAATTGAACTAAAAATTAGTGGGATATGTCAGTCAGTGCATAAAGACATGAACGCATATCATTCAAAAATCGCTTGTGTGGACTTCGTAAAAAGAAATGAGAAACCATCAACCGCAGTTTCCTCCAGACGGCCATTACAGGCACCCGAAAAATCCGGGATTTACCATTATCAATTTTTCCCTGTTGGATGGCCCTGGGGAACTGTGTTCATTTTCCGGTCTTTTCTCGATTTCTTCTCGTTTGTCCTTTCTTCTAAGTGTATCTCCGTAAACCGTTGATTTAATTTCTGAAGTCATCCCTCAGTTGCTTAACAACAATAGTCTTCTTCCGTTAACTGATAGTACAGTTGAGGCGAAAAAGCTTGGCTGTTCTCCAAGATTGTCGTGGAGTGTATTGATCAGGCCAGTTTAGCCAACCCAGGAATACCAAGAATCATAAGATCGGTTACCTGTCTCCATTAAAACAAGCTCACGGCCTTTTTGAATACATTCGATGCATCTCAGTTTATCTTGGCTTATTTCACTTGCATCGTCAATCCGAAGTGTTTATTACGGGGTCCCATAATGATCAGGCGCGATGTGCAGACCAGTGAAATGTAACCTCTTCTCTTACTAACGACCGCTTAACGGTGTGTGTCGACTCGTCAGTGAAACTTCACGTGGCTCTCTTGTCACCGCACAATAATACCTTAATTGGCTATGGTAGCCGAAAATATGATATGGCATTGCGGCATATTTTGAGACGTTTTCTGACCTCTTCCACAGTGCTGGAGAGAGCGTTTCTTTCGACAAACCGTATACTGTACAGAATTTTCGTGGCATACTGACACAGTGTAGTTTGTTCGACTGAAGGTGATTAGGCATGGGTTATGAGAGCAAATTTATCGCGGTAGAGTTGCATGCTTATATATGGTGCAGCAGTGGCGTACACATTTCATATTGTAGCTCCAATTTGTTTCTCTAAATAAGAAATTCTGTGTGTTGTAATCGGTTGCTTCATCACACATATAGATAAGGTTCTACGGTGTCCGTATTTCCAGATGAATGCCCGAAATAACTCATCCCTCAAATACCCCAATTACACTCTGCGCTGCTGCAAATCCTGAATCAATTTTCGACTGTTCCTCTGTCAACATTTCGTTTCTCTGACCTAGTTTTAACACGACCCGCTCTAATAGCGACCAATAGTGTGCGTGCACTTTCGTGACCATCATGACCTGTTAACAAAACCGCTTTCAAACAGGCAGACGTGTATATCGATTGACGGTAACCGCAGTCATGCATCATCCTTCATTCGATTCGGTTGGTTAGTTGATGGACGTATAAAACATACTCGTGTTTTCGCTGGTATGATCTATCTTTCAGCAGATGGATTTCAATTTAGGACCGTACTAGATGACCAGCTTCCTGTTCAGTCTCCAGGACACAGTGATTCTTCTTCTTTTTTTCAACAGCAAGATTCCCAGAAATCATTGTCATGAGTTGGCGTAAAATTGACTAGCCGTCGTTCTCTATCTATATAGTTTTTTCAGAACCCTTACTCACTCGTACTCATGTCCTATTCATTCCAAGTTGTTTGTACGTGGGACCGCGCCTCATTCCCGGTTCGACATTAATGAGAAGTGAACTTTTTTTTTACTCCATGCAGATGCAACTTCGATTGGTAAACCTCGCGAATACGTCTTACCAGTGAACATCACTCACCATCTACGGCCGGTCATGCCTGACCTTGAAACCATCCTTTCGCGTTAGCCTTAGATAAACCAGATACATACAATATATTTTAAACGTGCTGGTCGGAAAAGTTCTTCGCAACCCCATAGAATTTGTTGCGACATTCTTGCACTAAAGTCCGTAGTTGACCATTTTCGCTTGGTTAAACCCGGTGCAAATTTCAAAATCGTGAGCCAAGAAGGAGCTGATATGTACGAAAATAACATCACACAGCAAGTTTCTCCCAACCAATCTCGGATAGCTGGCAATTTGAAGAAAAGACAGTGTGCTTTGGTTTTATTAGCTGTTGATTATGTTTGGCCACGTTAATGCTAGAGAAGTGAAAGACTTTTCACCTTTTTCCAACTACGCCAGACAGAATAAAATACTTTGTGTAACTGGATTTTTTCGGGATCAGCATATGTACCGTATTCGGTGAAAAACTCATAAAGGTATTCATGTGCTGCGTCATAATTTGACCAGCTGGACGGAATGGGGTAATAACTGGCTGACGAATGATGGACACCACTGGAACTGGAACCCGAAATTTTCACTGTCATCAAAGGTCAAGGGAAACCGGAAAACGGGGGCGGCAAAATATGGAATAACCTGGCGTCACCTCCATAGGGGAATTTCTGACACTGAATCCCGATTAGTTCACCTCCAATCCTCTGCTCTGCTTCTGAAATCTCCAGTCTCTAGATGACTCTTTTGCCACATTGTTTTTCCTTCTCAATCTAGTAACATCCATTGACGCGGGTTGTAGGTTTTTGTAACCTTGTTTCTTCGATGTGTGTATCACAGACGGGTGTTCAACCTATCCGAGGTTAGATCTGTGGTTTTTCTGAACCAGTAGGTTAATAGGACGAGCTAATGAACGGTGAATTTTCAACTGACAATTTGTGTTGTTAAAGCAGTTTGTCATTCTGCCTGCTCTTGAGGGTGAGAGTGGCGACGTTATCTCCTCCAGTATTCGCGTATAAGCATCAAAATGTGAGTCCATATAAATATGACCTACACTGCCGGCTGCGAAGAACTCCTGGACAGCAGATATAGATTTTATCAGTACGAAGTTTTCTACCTGTCCCATTTCAATTCGTATACATTCTCCCCTCATCAACAGTGATAATATTGCTCCAGTCACGACTCTAGATAAAAAATATGGGTTTCAAGACACGTACCATTGAACTGGGAACAATTTAACCTGGTCAGTCGTCTTCGTTTTCTCGTGCCATAACTTCTCGAGTTCCCTGAGTGCGTCAGATGGATCACTGACGTCTGTGTTACACTAAGATTAATTTTCTTTCCATTAAAGTGGAGTTATGGGAAAAACATGATTAGCTACAAAGTTTTGTCACGAATGTATAGCCACCTAGGCAAATTTCAAACACATGAATTGACTACTTCCGATACCTTCATGAACATTGGAAGCACTATTGGAAAACTTACCATCGTTAGACCAAAGGACATTCGTTAACGAAAGCCCCATAAACTTTACCATCAAGCTCTTCTGATTAGTTTTTATCGGTGCTTCAAGCAACCATGTGGTCCTGATTCTGTCTTTTTAGATGCACCTGTGGATGACATGGCGGGATTGTGTCACGTTCTGTTTGAAATCCAAAATATCTTTCATGTAAGTTTCATCCGTTACATATGCGTTGTAATTCCTGTGTAATTCGTCTGTTATCCTTCACTTTACATGATCGCTTCCTTATCGGTATAGAAATAGAAAGTGTAATTATTACCATAGTTAACTCATCATACCCGATTAAAACNGGTTATCTGATCGGTTCAGCAGATTCATCATTGGCCTGGTTGGTAACCGGTTGAGTAATCGTACGTGTCTGATAGATTAGACAGTGAGATACTCGCCCATACTGGGTTTCAGAACGGGGTCGTTTTTGAATAATCGGTTCAATTACTGGTCAAGGGGAGTTGTGACAGCAATGTATGAACAAAATGACTGCACCTGATTGACCGCACCAATTTATTTGGTCCGGTGAATCGGACGGCAACAGCAAAAAGCGAAACAGGTCATCCAAACAGTTCTGAACAGCCCTCGGATAAATCGTTGTCCACAAAATGTGGGTTGCTTTTCACAGTTCCCATTGATTGATACAGCTGGGTTGCTTAAGCGACTAGCATCAGCATCATACAACTCACACGAAGAAAGAACCGCCCTACCCGAAAGGCAGAAGTTCGCAACGGATGAGAACTCTATAGTGATTAAAAGTTCCACAATGCGACTAGGAACGATAAATTTCGTCCCATGTACTAATGCCACTCCTGGCCTTTTATTACAAACTGAAAATCACATACTGCTGCATCGCGTCCACGTAGAAAGAAGGAAGGAAGTTAGTGTGACGAGAAATGTTCATCAGGTCAGCGGGGCAACCTGAACACTCCCCTTAAAGAGGGCCGCTGTACTCACTATGTTGGTTTGTGTGGACTAATCGAAGCAAGTAGACGGGAGAATCCTAATCAGATGCTTTGTAGTAAGCGTGCGTTGACTAAATATAACGGAGATACCAGATTTAAGGTAGCTGATTAGTTATGACAGCTCCCTCAACACAGCGAGACCGAGTTCTCAGCAGGATGGCTCACGCCTCGGTAATATGTCGACATGCTGGTAGCTTGTGTATGTTAACTGGTTGTGGATCAAGTGGCTGTTGATATGCTGGCCTAAATTGGCAGTTTATTCGCAGGCTTTTCTTCACCAATCTTGGAAATATCGTTATGAACAAACTGAACGACTTGATCCTATTTTCTGTAGAGAGAGAGAGAGAGCTGCACTCCAGAAATGATAATTCAAGACGTGACATAATCTCACTGAAACAGTATGCTTTGATTTATACCTATGATGTTTGTCGACAGGTATTTTTTCAGAAGGCATTTTTTGGAAATGGTGGATGCGACCTGGAACACAGCTTCTTCACCCCGAAACTGTGACAGCACACAGATAAGTCAATTGGTCTTCGTCACAGCGTCACCCATGGTTTTCAGTTTATCACTACAGGGCTTTAATTCGATTTCCCAAATATTAGGGTGACCAGGCAGTGTTCGCAAAAGGCGATGTTTTTTAGTCAGTATTCTGAAATAGGATCAACAGTATCCACCTTGGTCGCTGTTTCGTTTACCCCCATGTAGCACAATGGATTCAATCAGTATTGGATAAGTGGTCGAACATGAACCGTACTAATCAATTCCTGGCTAGTTAACTCGATAACACGGCGTTTGCATAATGCATAACCGCACTCATCCTCTAATTACTCAACACAGCCGACGCGAAGATGGTTTCCCAAAAGGGCGTCACCCAAACCTTCGTTATCCCCGGAGAGAATGTGGTTGGCCAGAGAGGTTCACGTATGTGGCGCGTCTACCTTCTCCTGTGAAAGGTTTTCAGGTTTGTGCCACCAGTGTAGTCAGTCCGGCTGTCTAAGAACAAGAATATTGAATAGCACTATACGTATTTTAAATAAATGAGAAAATGTTCGCATCGTGATGGCTAAACACAAGAAAACGGTGCACCCATCGATCTCGTGGATGAATTTTTCTGAGCTACTTGAATGACTACAGTTGTCACCCTTTCATTGAACTGTTGGTATGCTTCGAGATGAAACTGTTTAACTCTAATGCGCTTACGTTTGATCTGAGCTCAGATATCCCAGTGTTTACCGGAGATCTGAATGCATAAGTAGACTGGGTTAGCTCCTCTGTGACTCAGTTAGGTGGTCGGCGCAGACTGAACTCGGATAGTGTGGACAATGATGAGCGATTTCATCGGTTACATGCTAACACCAGGCTGTTGTTACGCAGTACTAACCTCCGAGATATCCGATATCGTCCGGCCACATGCTGTCCTCCAACAGCATGTCAGCTGAGAACCCAAATTGATCACATCGCCATCAGTTACAGATGGTGTGGATCAGTAGCTTCCTTTCCTGGGATAACTCAAAGTTGCTAGCATGAAATTTGACAAGGTGTACGACTAAGTGAACCAAAAGGATCCATTTTCTTCCAGTTCACCAGCAAGTGGGCATGAGTTAAGGGTTAAAACGATCAAATAAATTGTTTATTGTTACAGTATGAACTAGGGTAAGCCTTTTGTAGAGTGCGCCCTTACAGAACAGCGGATCGAAGCTTGACTAGACCATACGAAGAAAAACTCGAGGTCGTGAAATCTTTCGATCAAGGAAGTAAAATTGATGCTCAAGTCTGGGAGCCGTTAAGTGTTCCAGTCATCCCAAACCACACAGTCGGAGGTTATTGATAGATTTCGGCCAGTGCACAGTAGACAAAAACCATAGATCATTTCACACTGGTAAAATCCCATTTCCGTATTCGACAAACTAGAGAATACCGATCTCATCGATAAGAGTCACCCTCTTGTTGACATTGCACTCTTTTTCGTTTTGGCTCAAAGTAGTCTTTTCCTCGCTGACTTTCTCGTTTATGATAATTTTGAACAACTGAATATGTTGCACCTGACCGCCTCATGTTTAATTTGGTACAATGGGCCCCAAGACGGTCCAAACCGGTCGTGGGCTTTTAAAGAGTCTTCAGCAACCTTATTACTAGTGCATTAGCTTTTTCCTGTTTTGATCTCAATAGTAAACAAGTTCACTGATGTGCGATGGGATGTTAGGTCGTTCAGCGGGATTTGGGGATTGGCGCACATAGATAGAAATGTTTTACAAAATTGAGGATTCCTTAACTTGCGGACGTATCGTAGTGACCTAGGAATGTGCGCACACAGCCCCAAGCTTCCCTTTGTTCGGAATCCTATTCAGTACGCAACTTGGCTGGTTGTTCCGATGGGTCCGAATTACCAAAGCTCATCGTGGTTACTACCCATCAGTATCGACCGAATTTGTGAGTTAACCAACTCTGTTTGCATACATTAAGAATAAATCGATCGAACATAGAATTCAAGACCAACAATTGACTGACTAGTCATTTACGCCGTACCAGCTGAGTGAACCTCATCCCCAAAGTCAGAAGACTACTTCCTTAGAATGATCTGTCCGTCTGGTGACAGTGAGTGGAAAAAACGCTATATAATCATGGAGGATTATACCTACCTGATTAGCTACAAACAGGGTAAAACCGGTCGTCGGCTGTAGAAAAGCCTTCAGCAACCTTGTCAGTGATTTGTTCCGTCAGGAAAACGATAATTAATGTTTAGAATGCATGGTTCCAGGTGGTCATCCAACACACAGGTCCTTATTCCGTGATTCTGGATATTGTTCGCTCATACAACGAGCTATATCTCTAACTTCATACTCTCCGCAGTTCCACACCCTCGATTCTACCCATTTACATCGCCTCGGTGATCAGCCGCTGTGAATTCCAGTTCTCCATTCCCCCTTTTTCCCAAAACGATGACTTCTCATTAGTTTTTAAGCTTTATTCAAACAATTGAATTCATGTCCTGTTTGGATGGAAAGTCAGTCTTTCAGTCCACCGTGTGGCTGTATGTGGAACCTGAGCGTGACTTTTGGTTTGGTGGGAGTGCAGTCCTCAGCGCCGCATGTAATGCGGAATTTCGGTAAGAGTCGCAGACAGTCGGATAAGTTTGCCACACATATGTACTTTTCCGGTCTTGGTGCATTGTGTCAGTTCTTGAAGAGTGCTCAGTTTGTATGACGAGCTCGTGGATGAGAGATTAAAATAAACCAATTTTCTTGGTGCATTTCAAAGAAAAATGCATATTTCTGTCAGTGGATATGGTTAGGTAGATAATGAAGATGCCAGATTAGTTTCGATTCATAAACTGCCTCTCACCACAGCTCGATGTTATCTTTTATCATGATGGACGTGCGGGACCCACTTTTGCGGCAAGTTATTGGGTTGTCACCAATTATCATGTAATGGTATTATCATTTTTGTATGGCCAATGAAAAATCCACTTGGTCCACGCCCTTCAGAGGAAATGAAATACCTCAAGAAAACAATGGAACAGATGACCTTGAACGGCTTGTGTTGGAATAAATCTTCATGCAGCATCTAAACAGCATGTACGCATCAAGGATTGCCAGTGTACATGTGCGCCTTTTTTCGTGAATAGAATTTGTCAATACATGACGAGTAAATTTTTGAAATCGACTATTCGCGGCCGGTTTTGCGCTTCTTGGATAGGCGTATTCCCTGAGTCTTCACCAAGATTATCTTCTTCTTGATCAGAAATTGTGCGCTGCTAGGGAAATATGCTCATTTGTAAACTGGTTTAGTCTTGACCACCCTCAATCAAAAAGGCCAGAACCTGACGGGTGAACGTTTACGCACCAAGGCACCTTCACGCAAACCTAACATACTACGCACCGTTGTCATCAACTGTGGTAGTGAATAAATGCTTACAAACCTGGGGTCTTGTGACCTGTCATCTTGAACTTTGTCTTCTCAAAGCCTTTAACCATCTTTGCCCGCTTGATTAAGCTCGCTATCCGTTGAAATAAAGTGAATGTGTAAGCCTCTCGTGAGTGGAATTTTGTTCCTCCGACACGCGACCAAATCATCGCACCACTTTTCACATCGCATCGGAGCATACCGAAATCTGAAGGGTGGACTGTGGGACTAGACATTTCGTAGTGCTGTATGGTAGGACTACCGACTGCGGTTGAAGCCTATGTCAGATGAACCTTATCTTGTCGCCTAACCCTTCTACCGACAGGTGTACCTTTCGCAATTTGATTATTGTTTATTTGACATACAAAAGCGAGTACGCGTAAAGTAAAAGCTAAGTGATTTCTACAACATTCAGGCTGAAACCCCAGTCAGCCTTATTTTGGGACACAATGTTGGCAGATCACATGCATAGTTTTGACAAACAGTGTACATCATCTAGGAGTGACCGATGACCACGGGATGTTTTCGTCAAAAGCAGGAACTTACGCAACCTAGTCTACCCTGTCTATCCGATGTTTTCTCACTCATGTGTCGTGGACCAAACTGTGGCTCAACAGGTATGGAATTTTGTGGATAATTTTGGTGACATTTTCCGATCCATATTTTTTTTGGGCAAACACAGAGCGCATAGTTTCATACTACTTACCACGAGCATCCATCCTTTTTCAGGATATTCAAATTTACAGACAATGCTATACTAACATATCCCTTGTGGCTGGCAGCTGGCAGCTCGATCATACCAACGTTATAACCTCTTCCAATGCGGTGACTTTGAAGGTCTTTGTGAGACAAGTCAACGCACATTGCGTTGATCTCACTGGAACTGGTGCTCCTCTAAAGCCCGGTTATAAACGCAGCCAGATTGTCCTCTATTGCTCGCGGCCATTTGTGTCGATTTGGCCTAGCATAAGTTCGACGACCAGCTGTTCCAAGACACAAAAATCGACACTGGCCACTGAGGAGCGTGTTTACGAAAGGCGTATACCTGTTTGCGGCAAGAAGCAGCAGCAGTCGTCTGAGTCGGTCACTAACAAAAACAACACTGCAGCGTGCATACACGAATTCGACAGAGAGAATGGGTGAGTTCCACGTCCTTTGATGGATTGCTTTTGAGCTAAGCGTATATATATACATATATATGTACTAGTGAACTAAATATGAGGTCAGACGTTAATGTTTGTGGAGACTTCATTTTGTCGGACGAACGTTCACCTAGGAACCCATGAGAAATTGGTGACTAGCATCAAAGTTCTAGAGCAGTCATCTGAAAACCCGTGGAGACCGAGTGGGTCGGAAGGGGTGAGAAGAAACACAGAGAAACAAGGGGTTACTGCAGTTCTCAATTTAGACATCGCGAAGACGACATTCCCGCTCTTTCGCTTCAATTCGCATGACATTTTGAAGGAATGATTTTGTGATCTAATTTTTCTTAAAGTATGTTAAACAATAGTGTCGGTAATTAAGCAGAAAACATATAGGCTGTAACACAACAACCATGTTAGGGTGGCTGATTGTTTTCTGTGTGTCCCTGATCTAATTCCACCAGCTAAGTAAGACGAAGAAGAGCTGAAGGGCGAAACCAGTCGTGCGCTGTCGAAGAGTTTTCAGCAACCTTGTGAGTAGTTTCCTTTATGAAAATATACTGCGATATCTCGAATATCGTGCCAACTGAATCATGAGGCGGCCTGTGTGCAGCACATTCAGCTGGAGGACATCATAAACGAGAGATTCAATTGAGTCTCC